AATCCCTGGAACAGAGAAGCTGGATAGAAACCCAATCTAAAGCAGATCAACTTTCAATAAATCAGCTCGATAATACTGCATTCACTAACGAAGTCGGGAACATCGTATTAATCGTATGCTTAAATAGTAATTGATGTGCAAAAAGAGAAAGAAAATATTTCATTAAATTCTCAAGATTTAATTGTTGCACAGCTTAGTCTTCTTTCGCCGTCGATTGAGAAAAGATGAAAAACTAAAGCTAGTTTAAAATCAGAAATTATTACTTCCAGTCCCCTTGAGCAGAAGTACAATAAAAGTGCAAACTTGAAGACGAAAAGAATAGAAAAATTTTTAAATAAAACCGATCTTACGCTCGTTTCTGTCCCAACCTGTATCATCAGAATTGAATTCAAAAAGATATTTTTTTAGGTGGATTATTGCCGATATACATTTGCTATACCTATAGACCTAATTTATACGTGTAATATACGGATATTCCATTCCGTGCGGTTCCTGGGATGAAACTATCATAATTTTATAGCTGACTGAAAAGTTGAAAGTTCCTCCCTTTACATTTTTTGAAAATAGGTAGTTGGGAGTGGAAACAATCCCATTAACCAATGTCGCGAGTGTTCGTTTAACAATCGGGTTTGTTACGATTTATGTCTCTTAGATACTTGTTTATATGATCCTTGTCTCTTAGAATACGTTTTTCTAGAAAATTTAAAATATTTCCCAAAATCAAAGCGTTTCTTTAAAATTACTCTTTTTTTTTATTTATTAATAATGAACCATTTTCTTTAGAATTGGATAAGTTTACCATTGACCCTATCCTAAATCCCCAATCTTTCTCAAGCTTGTGTAGCCCGTAGCAAACCGACCCCCTTTTTTTTCCTTCTCAATAAAACGGCTACTCGTTAGAGTTGGATTAAGTTACCTACCATCGGATGTCACCGTGATGGATTGGGAATTGTGGTTTTTCAACCCAAGGAGAACTAAAACCGTTCGTGGAGGAGTCGACTGACCTTGCTCCGGTTGTGACCGTTACCGATTAGGGGCAGTGATAGAGCGACTCCAATTTATTTTAAAAAGGGAATTCTGAACGAATCCGGTTTCCTTTCCTCCGCTTGCTTCCGTTACCGACAAGGGGCAGTGGTTAAAAGACACGGGCAGGATCCTAGGTTCGGTGCCGAAAAGATTAGGGAGAAAGCAAAGAAATATAATTAGTTTTAATGAGGATCGTGAAGTAAACCTATCCCTGTTTTCCCTTTCACCCTTTCCCCCGAATCCTCAATCCAAGCATCTTCCAGCACCTTTGAAGAGAGATCTCAGTTAGGGTACTCTCCCAGAGGGTTCGATCAAAATCGGACCAACAAAACCTTTCCAGGTGGTTGATCGCTACCGAGCTGACCCTCCCGGAATTCAGCCGACCATCAATAATATTTGACGGCTCGCCCTCCCCACCCCGTTCTTGAATCCCAAGTCGAAATAATCCAGCTAAATTAAGGGCGCTCACCACTCCAGCGATTTTGCAGGGCCTCACGGGGACAACGATTCCGAACGTATTTCTAAACCGATCGAGCTTAACGAGTGCTCATATCGAAGATGAAATGTTGACCCGTGTTTATATGGAAGCGATTTTCGATAAGTGGTCATTATCATATAAAAAAGTGCAACGACATAATTTCAATGCCCTTTTACCTAGGAACGAGGTGCTCGATCGAAAATCGCTCCCATATAAACACACGTCAACATTTTATCTTTAAAACGAGCACTCGTTGAGCTCAATCGGTTGAGAAATACGCTCAAAATCGTTGTCCCCGTGGAGCACATTTTTCAGGATTTTCAAGTTCCTCGCGAGGAATTTGGGCATTCCTTGGCAACCGTTGCCGACTGTAGGTGGAGCGTCCAACTGGCGTGTGCGGGTGGCCGGGGGTCACCCACGTTTCGGCGCCTAGTCCAGAGGCGTCTAGCCGTTGTGTGAGTTGTATACGTGCAAAATACGCACAGATTTTTCGCCCGTTGCTAAACACTGCCCATTGTGCGTCGCGTCTCCCTCATCCGAGCGAGAAAGTACGTTTTGGTTACCTCCCACCGAATTCGATGCTAATGCCATCTAGCGGTGGAAGTCATCGTTCCCACTTGGTGGTGAACGCCGTTAAGACAAGTTGTTACTGTGGTTCACGAAGGAACGGCTAGATAAGAGGTGGCTGCGAAGTGTGATACCGAAAAACAATGTTTATTAAATAACAATGGGTCGTAACAATTACTGGTGACCACTTAAGCTACTTTCTGATCGCGACAGGTAGGAACGCGTGCAATTTCACGAATGTCGGAATGTTATTAGAATAGTGGAGACGTTGTGTCTCGCTACAGAGATGAATTGTATTTGACTGTGCCTAGAGAGACTCCTTTTTCAAAGTTTCGGATGCTGCCTCTAGGGTGGAGTTTTTTGCCAAGCGTTCGCTGATAGGCCTAGCGCAATGAAGTGGGATTTACAATCGAAGGCGATTGGTCAATGAGGACTGAGAAAGGGAAAAGTTAATGTTTTTTAAGGAGGCTTAGGTGGGGAATGAAAAAGATGGGCTATAGGACTAGAAGTAAACGAATCATGGGCTAAAGGACCGCGGTAGTAGATAAGAGAGTGACACGCTAGAGTTTCTGTTTATACCTCAATTTAAGTCATGAGCATACGTTACCGAATTGATGGTGCGAGATGACAGGGAGAGACTCGAGGAAGAATAAACAGAATTTGAGATGAGGAAGAAATAGAACACCCAGATCGTTGCAGAGAGTATTCTAATCAAAATTTGGCGTTATAATTATTGGTTTATGGATTAGTCCGTATTTGCAATAAATAATTGAACTTGCGTATTGGCTTGAAAACCACACGTTACATGATAATTGCTATCCGAGATAAAGGAATTCGTTCTCGGTTGAGCCCTTGTTCATTCGGCTCGAACACAAGTTGATCCCAGAATCCTTTGATAATATCCCGAATCCGAACTCCCTTCTTTCCATTTTCTATTTTACTTTTGTTCTACCAACACACTGTCCACGCTTCGCTCGTGCAACAAACTTACACTCGAGCGTAATCGTGTACTTCCGTCACTCGTTACATAATGTACTATTGCCCCATCTCTATAGAATTTTCATGCGACGAAATCTGAGATGAAATATTTTTGACAAATGCCTAGTACTTTTTGTTTCATGTATGATATAAGTTCAAGGTTTTCTATTTCGTTCAGTTAAAATGCGTGTAGTAATTAGAGTACATAGTTATAACTTCACGAGACCTCGTACCATCCTGGGAATTTTCACTTTCTCCGCTTTCTCACGGCGTGCATTTGGCCGCCAAATGTTGTTTGCCTTTATGCGAAGGAACCGAACTTTCGCGAAATTCTGGGTAGACAAGACCATAAAACATACCCTCGGACGGTACGTGATCTTACAAAGGCATCGTCAGGCCGTCCTCGACCTGGCTACCCTTTTGCTTACCCTCGCTGCCGAAGTCGTGGGAGGCGACTTTTTTGGGCATCTCCGCCAACGAACCAATCACGTAAAAGTTAGAAAACATTTGTATCCCTTCCACAACGCGGCAACATTTTTCTGAGGCACCGCGAGTCCTTGCGTGACTCCAAAAGGACACTCTGCTTTTTACAACCAACGAAGGAAGTCCTCGAGTCTGAATTAGAACAACGTAACGCGAAGCTGCATTCCCTCCGTACGCTTTATCCCAGTAGAACTCTGGTTTAAAAACAATTAATCAGAACTACTAGGAGCTGTTCGCCTTCTGGCGTGCAGTGCAAAGAACAAACTAAATCGAACTAAATAAAAAAGTTAGAAACCGAATTTGAAAACAACGTTACTTGGTAAGCACCCAGGGTATACCCATAACATATGAATATCATTTTGGTGCTCCCCTAATAAAACTTTTTAATATTTAGTTTCTAATTTTCTATCGAGTTCGATTCAGTTTTTAATTCCTCTATTTGATTGGACGCAGTAGAATTTTCTGTACTCGTACAATATATGTGAAACAAAATGTACTCAGGCATTTGGCAAAAACATGTCATCTAAGAATTCAATGGGGTGGAATTTCTATTGTGTTTGGCAAAAATAATTGATTTAACCCTAGTAGCACAAAATATTTATCTTATGTTTTCTATATATTTAACGAATATCGTACATTTTGTAAATATTTAGCAGCAACATTAAATATTTCCAAAACATTTACTTTAGAATATTAGTTTTATAATATTTGTATAATATTAGCTTCGTGTTTTCTTAATATTTTTCTTATAAATAAATATACAAAATGTTTTGTTTCACTTTAATATAGGTATGTTTTTAAATATTGTCGGCGGAATTCATTATGAACGTCGTAAAGCTGTGTAAAATCAAAATCACGTGTTTTGCTATCGTAATGAAATACCGGAACGAAAATATTGCAAAAATTATCGTATTTTTTGATACCAAATGAAGTGTCCAATAACAATCGTAAAGTAAAAATGTATTTCTATTATATGTTTATAAATTGTTAAAACTGAGACGAATATTTTTTACATCTTCAAATTGAAACTACAAGACGTCTGAGAAAATCTGTCGCTTGAAATCTTTGGCAAAGATTATAAAAAAAGATTTATAAATCATTCTGTGCTACTAGGGAAGATTTTCATGGGGAGATAGCGGTTTTCAGCTATTCCTGCAATTAATGAAGGAAAAACATGTGTACTCGGCTAAGATTTTGTACACCAAAAGTGGCTTGAGATTAAATTAACAATGGCACATTAGTTTCTCATGGTAAAATTAAGGAGTGCCACGCACGTAAGGATATTCCACTCCAAGTTTCAAATTGTCTTCGGAGCAGGACATAACGAAGTAAAACGGGGGAGTTGAATAATGCAGAAAGTAATTGTGAAGCATTTGTCCGCCTTTATCAGAGAGTTACTCCGAGTTCAACTTTCCCGAGAAAGGAATGTCAAAAGTTAAAACGGAAGTTAGGAGAAAGAATATCTTACCATAAAAATCGATGCGACCGTCGCCATCTACATCCACTTCCTTGATCATGTCTTCAACTGAAACAGAAATAATGCGACATTAATGCAGGAAACGGTTCAGTGCATAATTTCCAATTGACTTTTCCCTGCGATTCAACTACTTAAATTCCTCCCTTGAGAGTTTCAACTTCATTATTTGACTTTCACCGTCCATTTTATTCGTTTTGTAATTATAACGAACTTAATTCTATTGGTAGGATCAATTTTTACTGGTTGGTAAAATATGGATTTCAATGCAATTTGCTTATTAAACCATTCTTCACTTTGTCACATCTCTTGCCCTCCCTTCTTTACTTTGCTTAAGGTGAAGTGAAACACGTCGAGGAACTTGATCAACATTGATAAAGAAGATTTTCCTAAATGCCTACGTTGCCGACGTTCATTTTTACATTGACAGCTGTATCGAATTATGTTGGGTATTGTCCCAAATGGCATACTCCACCTGTCATTTTCGTACAATAATTATAAAGAAATCGAAGTAAAACTCCAGAAATCCTCTGGATTTATGCCTTCTGGGGCCCCAATTGACTGCAGTGGTACCCCCTGCGCCATCTGTGATTTCCAGGTCAATTAAATTTTCACTCCAAGACCTCGTATTACCATCGTTTTGGCATAGAAGCGCATACAACACTTTTTTTGTCTTTATCTCGTTCAAATGCGAGTTTATCGATTACCAGAGTGTTCTAGATTGTCGTAAAATTGTCCTGACCCTTTCGATTCTCATATCAGAGCCTTCGATAATTGTATATTGATCGAAATATGAGAGCTCGACGCCATTTTGGTTCTTGTCTGGGCTGAGTTAAAAAATTTTGTTGAAAAATCCAAATTTTCAATGTGTCAGGACAATTCTTAGATGATCAGGAGTGATGTGTCAAAGTTTCGGACAGTTTGATCTAATACCCTTAAAAAAAAGTATTGTATTCGAATCGACTGATTTGAAGGGTGTTTCACTTCACCTTAAAAAATTTAAAGTGATGCGATGGATTTGGTACTACCCATATATAAACCAGATTTATCAATAAATGAATCGTCTAAAACCCACAAACAGATTAATTCACAAGGAAGCAACCAGTAAAATGTGAAACATGTTGAAAGTCAAAATCAATGTGTACTCACGTACGATACTGAAATAATATTTTAGTTGTTATATGTTTCACATGAATTGCTAATTTTCTCATGACTCGTATTTATATTTATATATCAAAGTTTTAAACAGTTTATTACATTCTATTTCCAGAGGCTTATGGATTTTCGACTTCGTACTTTTCGCGGTTACTGTATAGGGAAATGTCAAAAAATGACAAGAGGTCTTTTAAAAGAAGACACTTTCATGTAAATATAATTTCGCTGACAATTTTTTCCTGTAAAAAACATTTGCCAAGTACAAACTCGCAATGTATACTCTACGTTATTATTCTAGAATTAAAAACCATTCAAATCAAATTACAAAGCTAATTTTTTAGTTGTCCGTTACTAGACGATCTGCCCGAGTAGCATAAAATATTTGTCTGGTATTTTCTATATATTTAATGAATTTCTTACATTTTGTAAGTATTTAGAAGACATTTGAAATATTTCCAAAACATTTACTTTAGAATATTGTTTTTATAATATTTGTATAATATTAGCTCCATGTATTTTCGTAACATTTTACTTATAGATATACAAAACATTTCGTATCATTTTAATATAAGTGCTTTTTATATATTACCTGTCGAATACATTATAAACGTTTTAAAAATATTTAAAATCAAAATCACACATTTTGCTACCATAATGAAATAAGGGAACCAAAATATTGCAAAAACTTGTGTATTTTTATAGCAAATGAAGTATCCAATAGCAATTGCAAAGTAACAAATGTATTTTCATTATACGTTAATACATTAAAAAATATCATTTTGATACATGTTTTTAAATTTTTTAAACTAAATATGTCTTTGAGATATTCAACAAATATTTCAGATATCTTCAAATGAAATCTACAAGACATCTTAATAAATCTGTCGCTTGAGATATTTATAGCGAAGATTACAAAAAGATATTTAGAAAATATTCTATGCCATTAGGGTGGTATCTCCTTAATATTTTGAAATCTTTGCCGCTTATTCTTGTATTACTGCTGCTCCTTTACGTTTAAGTATGATACATTGTCATTTAACAATAAGACGTTAACTGATTTTTTATCGAGTACTACTTGGCGGGTCCAAGCAAAAAATGTCACAATGCTAAAATTAAACAGGTGTTTGTCGAGACTGACATTTACAAAATTGGTTACGAATTACTGTCTCACAAAATTCTAACGCCCCCTTTCAGTCTTTAGAATTGCGCTTACATTTGATAATTAATATCTCTGTACTTTCCATTTGCAGCGATATGAGGTTATGTTAGTACAGCTTAAAGGGAAGGAGAGCGCTATACTTTTATAAAGGATTTTATGTCTAAAGTCGAGTACCAAACTATAAAAAGAAAATTGTGTTATCAAAACAAGAACCTGCCAACTAGTACTCGATAAAAAATCACTGAAGGTCATACTATTAAATGACAATACATCATACCTAAATGTAAAGGAACTGTAGATACACAAAAAGAAACGGCTGTCATTATCAGCAAATGCAGAAATTAAAATATTGGAGAGATACCAAATCGTTTGACAAACGGGCAGCTCAAGATTTGGTTTTGTAAAATGATTTCAATTATTTTTGATTCTAGAAACGTAACGTAGAACGTACATTGCGAGCTTGTACTCGGCGAGTGTTTATTACACAAAAGTATTCATAACAAGAATTTCACAAGTTTTTGTATTTTAATAAAATATTGTCGTTTTATTAAAATTGTTTGTGATATACGTAAATAGAAGAGGAGACAATGAATGCTTCATCTTTGGTTTCTTTAAGATTTATTTAACGCATTGGAAATGTACATTATGAATAAGGAGGAAATAGAAAGAATATGAAATATTTTCGTGTAAAAGTATCGCATGGAAGCAACTTAATTTTAATATTACAAACGAGCACACTAATACAAACTAATAAACAAATTAATCTTAATTTTTTAATTGAAATACAATGAAGTATTCTAATGTAAATTCTAGTGGAATCCCCGTCTTTCAATGTGTAGAGTTTCGTGGAGGCTTTCGGCATACAATCTCCTTTCTCTTACACTTTGTACTTGCACCCTGGTATTATCTTACATTATCCTTTTTTTCTTTCAATTTTGATTCCGTTCCTTCTCCTCTTTTTCAGTTCTTTTCTCCTTAACCTCTTTTATTTCTAGCGGCTGCCTATTCATCCATTCCTTTCTTAACTCCATCATTACTCTTCTCTCACACTCCTTCTCCTCCTGTATTCTTATTAGCTCTTCGCCTACACGGCTTTTTCAACCTTGCCTACTTTTCAATTTCTTCTCCTCCATCCTTCCTCCACTGAGAGAAAAGAATAACTGATTGAAACAAATGTATATCGTTGACATATATATTGTTTCCTGAATCGTATGATTGCAAGAAACAATTATTTTATCTAGAAGCAAAAATTCATGTAGTTTATTTAAACGAATGATTCTATTCGAGTTTGTAGTCTTAACCCTTTCGTTACCTTGGACGAGATATCTCGCGATCCGGTAGGAGCGGATTAACGCTTTTGAGGATAATCTAGCTTTCTAGCACCAATATTTTGACATTCTAGATGAATATATTTTATAACTAATACTATTCGTATAGCTAAAAGGATGAAATAAATACAGCTACTACCGGATCGCGAGATATCTCGTCAAAAGCGTTGATCGGCCAGTATCGGGTCGTGAGATATCTCGTCAAAGGCGTTAATCGGCTACTACCGGATCGCGAGATATCTCGTCAAAAGCGTTGATCGGCCAGTATTGGGTCGCGAGATATCTCGTCCAAGGTAACGAAAGGGTTAACGGTTCGCTTGAATTTCATTAAGGTGAAGTGAAACTCCCTTCAAATCAGTCAATTCGAATACAACACTTTTTTTTAAGGGTATTAGATCAAACTGTCCGAAACTTTGACACGTCACTCCTGATCATTTAAGAATTATCCTGACACATTCAAAATTTGGATTTTTAGAAAAAAATTGTTAACTTAGCCCAGACCAGAACCAAAATGGCGTCCAGTTCTCATATTTCGATCAATATACAATTATCGGAGGCTCTGATATGAAAAACGAAAGGGTCAGGACAATTTTACAACAATTTAGAACATTCTGGTAATCGATAAACTTGCATTTGAACGAGATAAAGGTAAAAAAAGTGTTGTATGCGCTTCTATGCTAAAACGATGGTAATACGAGGTCTTGGCGTGAAAATTTAATTGACCTGGAAATCACAGATGGCGCAGGGGGTCCCTCTGCAGTCAATTAGGGCTCCAGAAAGCATGAATTCAGAGGATTTCTGGAGTTTTACTTCGATTTCTTGATGTTTATTGTACAAAAACGACAGGTGGAGTATGCCATTTGGTTCAGTACCCAATATAATTCGACCCAGCTGTCGATATAAAAACGAACGCCGGCAACGTAGGCATTTAGAAAAATCTTCTTTATCGACGTTGATCAAGTTCCTCGACGTGTTTCACTTCACCTTAAGGTGCCAGTTATGCATCGGCATAACAGGAGCCGCGGTCTCTTCCGGCTACGATCTTCGACCCGGCGCCCGGAAAACGCGAGAGGACTCGGCCTCCGGCCACTCAGCCTCGCGAGAACCGATCAGGGCCATCACGGCACGGCAGAGATGGGGGGTTCCGGGAAGGAGCGAAGCGGACTCGAAATGGAAGCTGGATTGGGATTTGAAAGATGGAAATTTTCATTGACCACCCGTTTCTGCGGAAACTGTCGCGTATTCCGCTAGACACGTTACACGGATACTTTGGGACCCCCACGGCTTATTATTTGCGGTCCGAATAATAAAGAGGACCGGTGGTTCCCCTCGATACTTCTCCCGGCGCCCCGGGACAACCAAAGGGCCCAAAGCCCAATTCTATTAGGTTGTCCCATAAGTTTCTTCCC